TTACAGCTCGTTCGTAGAATGATTGCAAAATAGAATTTTGTGACTTTTCTCAAATTAAACGTTTGGTTTCCAATAAGTAGGTGCTTAGTGCAACATTAATTGAAAATTAGGGGATTCAGCTGTTTAATTTCAAAGTCAGAGCAAAAGCTCGTATACAGGTTCTCCACCTGTTTAAGGTTTTGATAGTAAACATCATAGTTAAGGAACACCGGTGCAAGTTGAAACAGTACGTATATTTCTTAGTGGAAGTGAATATTCACTATAATTATGTTTGAGAGGCATTGTGTACTACCGCAAACTATATTAGACATAATCTCAATGATTATTCACTTCCGCTAACAACTACATCTACCGTTTCAACTTCAACACGCGTTTCTACCTATTTATGCCATTTTCTCACTGCTGCTAAATGTATGCAGTGTTTTTTCTATGAATATTATATATGGACATGAAAAAGGTGTCTTTGGTGAAAAAGCCTATCTTTCTCGTTTCTAATAATACTAAAGAATGAACAATGTTCTCAAAATAGGATTTTATTGAAACGTGGGTTCGTAATCACACAAGCATTCCTGAGTAATTGCGATAATTGGAAAGTAAATAGAGCTTTTTTCTCTTCTTTACATATTCTGCACAAAACATATTTTGTAAGCCCCGCCCCTGGCAGAATTTCCCACCGTTTTTCTATGAATGGAACGGGGCAGAAAGTATCTTTTGTGCAGAATATGTAAAAAAAGGATGGACTTCGGATGTTTATCTAAATACATATATAGAGGTACCAGATATGTTTTACAGTCAGTTGGTGGTAAATCATCCACAGAATAATATTAAAATATTGTGAGCGATTCTTTTTTCCCAAATTGGAAGGTGGTAAAAAAATTTACGGAATTAAACTTTTTTTTAACAACATTGTAGTTCAGGTTCAGTTTGTTGTTATATGGGAGGGGAAGGGAGGGTATTTTTCATAAATAACTTTTCCGCGTTTCGTACAAGGGGCTATTTATTAACTACGTAGATAATTTTTGGACTCTTGCACCCTCCCTCCCTACCCCTCGTAGTTAATGAATAGCCCCTTAGTTGAACCGGACCCAAATCACCTTTAACCACTGACTTGCTCCTGCTTACTGCAGGACCATGCGCCGCGCCATCCGAAGCGGTAATGAGCAGAAGCGCGACAGCAGTGCTGTTTTCTATCTTTTCAGAACGATTTGCAACCAAGTGGTACTCGATTCTGATGACTGGGTTTGGGGAAAAACACTTATTTCATAAAAACAGTGATAAAATAATCATTTGCACATTTTTTCAAAAGTTTTATTACGGAAAATTGGAAAAATATTTATTTCAGCAGGTTCGTGATCTAATATCCTATCGATTGGCGTATTTGGATTTTAATTTCATATATAAATGACAGAGTTACAAGCGTTCAAAACCTAACACTATTTCACCATACATATTTTTTGATTTGCACCCCAGTATAGTCGACAAAGACGTAGTTCCACGTCAAAAAATCATAATGGAATATTCGTAGACACCTAACCGTAAAAACTCAATGAACATGCTTCATACGATCGAGGTCATCCCTCTGACAAATGGGAACGATGAAAATAAATCTCGATTGCTCCCCCGAAGCAACAACGCCCAAATCTCAAAGCTCTCCGGACGTCCCGTCGAAAATGCAATCGAGAAATGTATAAGAACAATCTTCAACTGGAACGTACTCACCAAATCAATATTTCCTGGTGCACACTCCCGATGCTTATTTTTCTCTCGCAAATCCGTCGTCGTCGAACGGCAAAAAAAGGGAACTCGGTGAGCAATTTTGTGATACGGAATTTTCACTGAAAATCAACCCCGGATTCACGAATTTCACCACACCCAACTGCGAGACACGTTCAGAAGCACTTTTGGCACACTTTCGATATCAATTTCGTTCTTTCCTGTTTTTATTTAACGTCGTTCTCTGTTCCGCAATCTAGTGCCAATCACCGACGGACATCGATTACCATCCATTGACGGTAATCGAATATGCAGGAAGGCAGCTTCCACATCTGCGTTCGATATCGCACCCATTCAACACACATGGGCCGGGACCAACGGCATTACTTCCTTTCCGAAAGAAGACGTGACCAGAGATTTTTATGCCTCAGAAAAATTCCACCGACCTCGGCTGGGATTGAAACCAGACCCATTGGGGTGAGAAAGCTGTCACGCGTACCGCTACACCACCGGCGCCGACATCAATTGGTTCTAAAACACTTAATTTTTTGCAAAAATAGTTGCAAGCGAACCATCATCAGCACCGATTGTGCCGAGGTCTTTCACGCACCTTGCAGTGTGTGATGCCACATTTCTTCGAATCTAAATCTGTATTTTCATCGCAAAAAATCTTTTTAATCTGTATCTGGCGGACAAAATTCTGTTAAAAAAGCTGTATAATTTCTGTATTATGGTCACAGTGCGGATTTAACTAAATCTTTATTGAGAAAATTCATAGTACAGAAGGAGCTTGTTCAATTTTTGAATCATGAAAAATTACCAAAATTTGCTTTCTACAGAATTCGTCTATTTTAAAAATCTTGAAATCCTGCAATATTGATTTTTAAAGTGTTTTGTATCTCTTCTACTGTCTGAAAATACAAAACATTAAGTATCAGTTTTTAGCGGCGCCTGTGGTGTAGTGGTAAGCGTGATAACCTCTGACCCCAGCAGGCCTGGGTTCAATCCCTGTCGGCGCCGCCGGGATGTTCTGAGACATAACATCTCTGATCACGGGAAGTAAAGCCGTTGGTCCCCGGTTCATGAGTTGATGGGTCGATACGTAGGGTCCAGGTGTGGGAACTGCCTCCCTGGCGTCGGTAGCATTGGTGCTTAGCACGGAAAACAAGATAGACGAACAACAAATTAAGGATAAAAAAAATATCAGTTTAAAGAGACAAATCTGCTTCTGACTGAAAATTCCCTAATGAAGTAACTATCACAATTCCCCAGTGTTTGATTTTTTTTATGTCTAAGGCTACGAAAACCTTTAACTGGACATTGGACATAACACAGAACTTTTACAGAAAGTTTAGTCGAATTGCATGCAATATTTTTTTATTTCTGTAATTACGTTTTTCAACATAAAAATATCCAGTTGACTCTTCGGCTCACAAACTGTTATCAACCACTTTGTGGGTTTTATAAAATGGCTTGTTGCCTGATTTGACAACAAATACATTTAATTAAGTTTCGTATCTATCTGTCACCATGTTAATTAATCAAATAGAAAGAAACATAAGAAGTCTATTTGAAAGATTCCAATTCCATTCGAAGCTTAAACAACATTAATTTATTTAGTGAAAAATACGATTTGGTTTTGATGTTCAGATTAAATTCAAGCTTCTCAAAAGGAAGAAACGATTATTTATTGGAATGAATAAATAATTTAAAAAAAAAAAAAAAAACAATACCAAATATATTCACTAAATTTGAAAATATGAAAAATCTGTATATTTTTCAAAAATTTGTAATCTGTTTATACAGATATCTGTAGCCAAATATTAAAAAAAAATCTGAATGACTATAGATTAATCGGTGCATGTGGCATCACTGCGTGCAGTGCGTAAATAAACTGAAATTTAAAAATAATTACTCGCGATGCCAATAATTTCTGGTCCGAGAGAGAAAAAAAAACAACCCAGATAGTGACATATCTTCTAATGCTTGCGAATATGATGTGTCACGTTTTCTTTCTCGATTCTAAAACTTCCCGGAAGGCAAGAAAACCACCAATCACACACATATAACACAAATTTATCCGAAAACTATGAAAACGATCGCACCCACAAAACAGAGAACAAGCTTAAAACACAACCGTATCCAAAGGGGTTTGAAACTGCACCATTATTCTGCAGATTTCTAATTATTAAATAATCAAATCATTTCTTTAATATATTCTTGCAAGAAAGTCGGTTGATCAGGAATAATTCTAAATACCTTCAATTGATCAAATACCTGCGAAATGCTCTGTTGATATTTTTCATTAAGATTGATGAAATATAGTTAACCAAATTTGGTTATGAGAAATAACATAGAATGTTGAATAATTCACTTAGCAGTCATGTCCGACCCCATGTTTTATGGGGATTTTTTCTCTTACTTTGGGATAAATCATTAAATAAATAAAACCCAAAACCAAACACCCCGTATGAAATCTGCTTACGCAGCATAGCGACAGACAACTCACTCTCTAGAGCGTTGGTCTGGAGTGTGAAATAAATCATTATTGACCGAATCCTAAACCTAGCCAATCTCATCGCCAGCGAGTAGGTACACGGCGAATGAGAACGACTCAAATTTAAGTTTAGTTCACTCATAATCGCCAAAAGTGCAGGAACTCAGCGATGAGTAAATTTGCCTCATGTTTTCCCAGGTTTTTCCAGGATTTTCCAGGGAAAAATTCCCGAATTTGAGAAAAGTAAAGGTTGGATTCACTCAGTCTATTGGTACTACTTCTTCTTCTTCTTCGCATTTCAAGCTTATTGCATATCGCATATTAGCTTATTGCGTGCTCTCAACTTATTGTTCTTGATGCACTTCCACAGTTATTAATTGAGAGGTTTCGATGCCTGTACCATTTTTGCATTGATATGATTGTGTGGCAAGTCCAATCATACTTCTATGCCCAGGGAAGTCGAGAAATTTTCCAAAACGAAAAAATTCTAGACCGGAACGGGAATCGAACCCAGCCGCCTCCAGCATGGTCTTGCTTTGTAGCTGCGCCTTTACCGACTGAGCTAAGGGAAGCCCCAGGTACTACTCCGAGACTGAATAAAATTTTCGTCAATTGCCAGGGAAACCATGAGACAAATTTTACTCATCGCTGAGTTCCTGCACTTTTGTCGATTATGAGTGAATTAAACTCATATTGAGTCGTTCTCATTCGCTGTGTAATTACAGCGTCATCATTGCTTACCGCTACTGCTGACACGGTATTAAATAAAATATCAATCACCAAAGCTCACCTTCACGAAAAATTCACAAATCACTTTCCAAGCCTTCCGTTGGTCGCGGTAATCCTGTGTCATGCGGTAAATAACATCTAAGTAACGTAACGGCCGCACCATCCGTCTCGACGCGCAGTTGAATGCCCTACAAAAATATTAAAACATACCTACATGGTGATCAAGGTTCAAAGCACCATCAAACTGTCACGCATTGCATTTACACTTCTATGCTGTGGACGAAGTCTTCCTTCGCTTCGCACTGCATCACGTCACTGCCCAGCGAGGTGGCGCAAATCATCTCCAGCGTGCAGAGTGATGCGTACTTGAGGATATTCACTGAAAGATTAGTGCCCCCATCAGCAATCACTTCGGTCATTCGTTGAACCATCCGTTGACTGCATTCCTCGAAGGTGGACATGAAGCTGTTCAGAACGATTGTGTTAAAGGCTGGGTTCAATGCCTTGCGTTGGACTCTCCATAGCTTCCCTGAGAGAGGTGCAAAAATGAATCAAATCAGAATTCTTGCTCGCCACTGATCACTTGTAGGAAAACTTACAGTCGGCAGAGAAAATGCCTTGCGTAAATCCGGTGAATTTGTATAAAAAAGGCCGCTGGATGCAATCCGGGTGAGTGAGGATTTGATGGATTAAATCCGGATGACAGGTAGCCAGTACCAGTCTGGGTCCGGCCCAAACTTTGAAAAATCGATCGAATTTCATACATTCTTGCAGAACCATCTGGAAAATTTGCTCCTCACTTTTCCAGAACGATATGGGAGCATTTCCCAGCACGGGATAGCATGGCTGCACCGTTGGTACCTTGGCTAATGATTTATACTTGCACCAATGGTGAACCCACAGAAAACACAAACCCAAAACAGTCACCAAAAATAAAAATAAAGTTGAAAGCATTTTCTCACAATCAGTTGTAACCCGTTAACTGCACAATTGCAACTGAAGCGACAGAGCACAACAAAAAAATAAAGTATCTTCTCGGCTTTGCTTGTTCTCCAGGTATGCTGGAGGATGGTTTTAAGAATACTGGTTTTCAAGGTAATCGTTTCACCAAAGTAACATTCACTCCCCGCCTGAAAAAGGGTTTGGACGTACCTCCTTCTGCGAATGCCTAGAAACTTAAATTGCGAAGTTAACTGACCGACAGCCATCGATCTTAATGTGTGGAAAGGTGCAGTCAAGAATCAGAATCCAGTTTATGTTTTCGAAAGCTGTTGATCGAGTTATTCCAATTTGCAGGATTTAATTGGAGCTTATGTATCCTATTTCCAATCGATAATAAGGGTCGGTGAGCCAAGGTTGGCCCTAGTGGGAATTGTAGCGAATTGTAAGACAACATTTTTGAATTGGGCTTTGGGTAACTGTATTTTAGTAATACAACTTGTCTTAAGCTAACAGACAAAATTTCAGTTTGTAAATCTCTAATTCAGCAGTTTGAAATAGAAAATAAAATTATGCATCTTTAAGTACGTCACTTTTCTTAGCAGTATGGCTAAAAATCGAGTATTTTTATTCGGGATATTTTCATCAAAATCTGCAAAATGTTGAAGATCTTTGCACTAGAACTTGATTTTGAAAGTTTCATTATGCGAATAAAATCGATTTTCCAGTTTACTTGTGTGTGATGATTTTGACAGTGTATGGATAAAAATCGTTTCATGCGTTGTCGACCATTGATGACGTAAAGGGGAAGTTTGTCACTCCGAAAAAAAAATACGTTTTGAATTTTCTAAAAATATTGGAAAAGCATATCAGAAATCTAAATAATCAGTTTTTTATTTTTATTTTTCAAAGAAAATTCACGTGCAAAAACAATTTTCATGAGTCATTAAAGCATAAAATTGGACTCAGAAAACCACAAAACATCGACATTTGGTTTTGCTGAGGGTCCAATTATTTCCATAATAAGATTTTTTTTTATTTGTTCCAAAATAAATCAAAACAGGTGTTCCAGCTACTACAGTTACATACTAACCTTTTTTTTTTTTTTTTTTTTCCTTTGGTTTGTTTTTTCCGTCGATCTTGTTTTCCGTGCTGAGCACCAATGCTACCGACGTGCCAGGAAGGCAGCTCCCACACCTGGACCCTAACTATCGACCCATCAACTCATGAACCGGGACCAACGGCTTTGCTTCCCTGCGTGAACAGAGATGTTATTCCTGAGAACATCCCGGTGGCGCTGACTGGGATTGAACCCAGGCCTGCTGGGGTGAGAGGCAATCACGCTTACCACTACTGTTTTAGAAATGTATTAAAAACAATTTTCTTGTTTTTCGTGAAAAAAAAGCACTCCAACCATCACTTATGACATGTATTTCCCATATAGCCATAACAAATTCAATGTTGTATTCTTATGGCTTATGATGTTTTCTGATTATATAGGGGAAATGCAGGTAATGTCGGCCTAACTGTCCCTAATTTGGACCCATACATAAATTCAGCAATCGACTAAGTTTTCAATAGCAACCAAAAATATCCATTAGTAACGTCCCAATGACGCGTTCATCAAGATAAAATTGAAAAATAGCAGATTTTTAGCGATGGGTGCAATCTTAGATCCATAGGCCAACATCGAACTTCTGAAACGAAACGCAACTTTCATCGCGCTTGCAACGCCTATCGTGAGCTTAATTCAACCCTATACAAGTCATATGTCTTGCGTGTCCAGACCAATTTACGTAGAAATCCCAAGAGCTTCTGGAAGTTTGTGAACTCCAAGCGAAAATCGTCGAATATTCCTTCATCCGTATTTTTTGGCGATTTGGAGTCTACTTCTATGCTCGAATCGTGTGATCTATTTTCCCGCCACTTCAGTTCTGTTTTTTTCGGATTCAGCCGCCAACGCAGATGAAGTAGAAAGAGCAGCTTGCAATGTTCCTGAGGGTCTCATCGATTTGCGTACATTTGTGGTTAGCAATATGTATGTCGTTAAAGCTGTTAGGAAGTTGAAGAAATCTGTTTCACCGGGTCCTGATGGTGTACCTGCAATCATTTTTTGCCGCTGTGTTGCTGTTTTAGCTGATCCCCTAGCTCGCATCTTTACCGCTTCGTTGCACCAAGGAGTTTTCCCCGAAATATGGAGACATTTCTTTATGTTCCCTGTCCATAAGAAGGGCGACAAACGTGACGTGACAAATTATCGTGGCATAACAAGTCTATCTGCAGCTTCAAAATTATTCGAGATCAATGTGAACGATGCTATCTTCTTTCATGTCAAGAGCTACATTTCAGCAACGCAACACGGATTTATGCCAGGACGCTCAGTTACATCAAATTTGCTGGAGTTCACCTCAACATGTATAAATCACTTGGAAAATAGGGCTCAAGTTGATACCGTTTATACCGATCTGAAAGCGGCATTCGATTGCATCGATCATGGTATTCTTCTTCGGAAAATGTCTCGCCTGGGAATTTCGGATGGTTTGGTTGATTGGCTGAAATCATATCTTTCCAACAGAACACTTCGTGTCAAGCTGAGTTCGTGCACTTCATCACCATTTGCTGCAACCTCCGGTGTTCCCCAGGGCAGCAATTTAGGACCATTGCTGTTCACAATCTTCTTCAACGATGTGACGCTCCTCTTGCCGAGTGGTTGTGTGCTCATATACGCCGATGATCTCAAACTATACATTGTTGTCAAGAACGTCGAGGATTGCCGTCAGCTCCAAGCAATGTTAGACCAATTTGTTGATTGGTGCCGCTTAAACAAGCTTTCCGTCAGTATATCAAAATGTGTGGTCATGACATTTAATCGCACAAGAACGCCAATCGTATTCGATTACTCAATTGATGGATTTGTACTAGAAAGAGTAGAACAAGTAAGCGACCTAGGTGTAATGCTGGACCCTAAATTTACGTTTGACTTACACCGTTCAATGGTAATCACTAAGGCTAATCGTCAGCTTGGTTTTATATCAAGAATCTCAAGAGATTTTTCGGATCCGTACTGTTTAAAAGCACTGTACTGTTCACTCGTTCGTCCGATTATCGAGACTGCATCTGTTGTTTGGACTCCCTACCAACTTTCCTGGAACATCAGAATAGAACGTATCCAAAAAACATTCATTCGTCGAGCATTAAGACAACTTCCTTGGAGAGATCCACTAAACTTACCTCCGTATGCTGAGAGATGTCGCTTGCTAAGCATGGACACGTTACAACGACGGCGACAAATTCAACAGGCAACATTCGTCGCGAAGTTATTAAGTGGTGAAATTGACTCTACCCACTTACTCTCTTGCTTGAACTTTCGTGCGCCAAGCAGATTTCTACGCTCAACGTTCCTATTGCGTCAAGACTCACACCGCTCTTCTTTTGGACAACATGAACCTGTTACGAGTATGATTCGCACGTTTTCTACAGTGGAAGAGTTGTTCGAGTTTGGGGAACCTGCTGCTCAATTCCAGAGACGTATTATTAACTCCAGATACATTTAGTATTTGTTATGGCTTCTGGTTCATTAAGACTTATTGTCAGATGGATGTATTAAATAAAAATAAAATAAAAAATAACATTAGAGACATTTCCCCTTTATACTTTGAAAAACTATCAATGTTACCCCGTTTTACGGTACCTCGGTGGTACTGTACCAGGGAGGTAACTTCAAAATCATCTTCAGAACTTTGTTCTGAATCCACTTGAAGGGCTTTTTTTTCTGGTAGTGCAATAACTAGACCATATTGGCACAGCGTAAAGCATGGCCGGTCAAAAAACTTGTTTAAATATTAGAAGTTTATTCGTCAGGCAAAGTTTGGATTTCCTGTTTATCAGAGGATACAAACATTTTATATATTTTTCGATTACTTTTTCAAAGGGACGTATCAGATTTCTAAACAATGCATTTGATCGCCGATTTGGCGCAACTGGTAGCTCGCACACGCTTACTAACACCACTAGCAGGTAGGGGAAAATTTGCCTTATCTGATGGTAGTGTTAGCATGCGTGGGCGAGCTACCAGTTACACCAAATTGACGATCAAATGCATTGTTTACAAAAGCTGATACGTCCCTTTGAAAAAAGTTATCGAGATTTGTTACATTTGGATTGAATGCTTTCAATGTGATCTTTAAAAGTAAATTTTTGATCAAGTACTAATCCCAGATATTTCACTTGACTTGACCAAGAAATTGGAACTCCGTTCATAGTGACTATGTGACTACTACTTGGTTTCAAAAACGAAGCTCTAGGCTTATGTGGAAATATTATAAGTTGTGTTTGGAAGCATTGGGAGAATCTTCCATTTTTATAAATAAGAAGAGAAAATATCAAAACTTTTCTGCAGTTCGCTGTAAATAAATCGACAACTTTTTCCTTTAGGGAAATGCCTATGTCATCAGCGAACAAAGATTTGTGGGAACTCTGAGGCAAATCAGGGAGGTCCGAAGTGAAAATGTTATACAATATAGACCCAAAAATGCTACCCTGAGGAACTCCTGCTCTAACAGGTAGTTGATAATTTACCTGCAGTGTTCTGTCAGTTAAATAATTTTGAACTAATTTCATAATATAGAGTGAAAAATTACACTTTTTCAATTTAGCAATCAAACCTTCATGTCAAACACTGTCGAATGCTTTTTCAATGTATAGAAGAGCAACTCCAGTTGAGCAGCCTTCAGATTTGTTTGATCGGATTCTATTTAAAACTATCTTTTCAAAAAGTTTACTTATTGAAGAAAGCAAACTAATTGTACGCTAGACGCTACAGCTGGATTTTAATCCGGCTTCAAAGATGGAACAACTTTTGCATTTTTCCATTTATTTGGAAAGTATGCCAAATGGAAACATCTGTTCATTAATTTTACCAAGAAGGGACTCTCTGGGAGTTTTTTGATGAGGAAATAGAAAATTCCATCATCACCTGGAACTTTTTAGTTATAGACCTTACTTCGTCCAAATCAGTCCCCCACGAATCATCA